TTTTTTTGAGTTGGAGTCTCACTCTATTGCCCAGGCTGGAGTGCAGTGGCACACTCACGGGCCACCCCAGTGTCGACCTGCTGGGCGCCAGTGATCCTTCTGCCTCAGCCTTTCCAAGTAGTCAGAACTACAGGTGTGAGCTACCACGCCTGGCTAATTTTTTTGATTTATTGTAGAGACGAGGTCTTGCCAAGTTGTCCGGGCTGATCTCAAACCTGTGGGCTCAGGCAATCCACTTGCCTCGGCCTCCCGAACCTAGCCAAGGATAACTCTTGAATATCAGGTATAGCAGCAAAGATTGATTTTGTAGACATATATCATAGCATTTTGCATTTGCATTATGTTGATGTATCTAAGAAAGCACAAGTTTGCACTCTTCTTTCTTCTTTTCCCCAAAATATAGGAAAAATGGCCAGGTGCAGTGACTCACACCTGTAATCCCAGCTCTTTGGGAGGCCAAGGTGGGAGGATTGCTTGAGGCCAAGAGTTTGAGACTAGCCTGGGCAACATAGCAAGACACTGTCTCTACAAAAAAATCAAAAAAATTAGCTGGGTGTGTTGGCGTGGGGTACCTGTAGTTCCAGCTATTCAGAAGATGGAGGCTAAAGGATTGTCTGAGCCCAGGATGTTAAGGCTGTGGTGAACCATGCCCGTGCCACTGCACTTCAGCCTGGGTGAGTGAGTGAGACTCTGGCTAAAAAAAAAAAAAAAAAGAACAGGAAAATGATGTAGAGAATCTTTTTTCATTTACTTCAGTGGTAGTGTTCTTTTATCCTATTGACCTTATTGGTGTTTTTAATCCTATATGTCCTCTGGCACCTGCTTTTACATCTCTACTAAATGTGTTTTTATGAGCTGTCTGGTGGCATCTGATCTGAAATACATTCATTGTCTTCAGACCTTACATAACCGTCCTCAAAGGATGAGAGAAATCGGGCCACTTGAAGACTAAGTTCGATTTATGCCCGCGGTAGCCTCTGTCATATGGATATAACAAAGACAGGAACAGAAAGGGCCCAAGTCCATTGTCCAGTAGGGGTGGCTTGTCCTTCTCTAGCCGAGCCTTGGGCAGGGAGTCTGTACAGGTGTTTAAAGTGGATGTGTGTGTATGTGACAAATGATGTCTATGGACTGCAAATGCTTGGATGTGGCTGTATTATTTCCATGGTCTTTCTGGGTTGGCTCTTGGAGAAGCCACCCTACCGTGTGTGCTATGCCTGTACTCGTGCTGGCTCTGATTTCAGTAGTCTTATCAAGTTGGTCATGACGCTCGCTAGCATTTGGAAGTGAAGGAAAGGGCAGACTTAACAGATGTCATTTGACACCTTTTCACCTGTCAATTTCTGTGAGTCAGAAATTTTAGCAGGATCAATTGTGTTGCTTTCGGGTGTTGTTAATACATCCCCCCTGACCCATTTGAATTTTGTCTTGTGGTGTGTTAACTGCCACATACAGTGAGAACCTTTAGGCATCCATGTTTACAGGTACAGTATAGAAGTCAGGTGTCCCTAATCCAATTTGGGGTCAGACGTTGGTTTCCTGGCTGGATTTGCATCTTCCTTTGCCATTTGGATTGAGTTCTAGACCCTGGCTCATCCTTAAGTTGAGATTTTTCTCCCAGGCCCAACTTCCTTGGCTCTTTGTGGGAGG